TCAAGAGTCACACACCAGTCTTGGAGCCATGAAAAGTGGACCAAGCCAGCATGCGTGTGTTTGCACATGTGTGCTCACACCCTTACCCAGATTTTCATAACCCACCAACAGATATCTCAGAATATTAATCCAGGAAGTCAAGTAAATGTTAAAGAGATGCAAGCTTGAAAAACATGATTCCCCTTCAGAAGGAAATGAAGGAGACAGATGACTTTTAGGGACTGGAATGGCTAGTACTGTTACTATGAAGACAAGAAACATATGCCTGAACTTAAATTTTTCTGACAGCTCCTGGCAACAAACACAAACGCAGAACCCTTCCGTGTGACAAACACAAAACCCATATGGACCTGAAGGGCATGTAGGTATCACCCATCCACACACAAAATGAATTGTGAATGACCTCTGCTCTGAGTTTTAAAGCAACAGTGTGTCACGTGCAGTACAGCAGCCATTTGGTCCCTCTGTTATGGAAAATTTTTGAATCATATCTGTCGGAAGGACTAAATATACTAGAAGCAAACCCACAGAGCAATGTTTTGCAACCAAAAGTCAGGCCCACATAGCAGTTCAGAGAGCAACCTTCCCCCGTCTTAACTTCAACCTCGTATGAGACACACAATCTCACCTTGTAGCATCAGAGCTAGACCCATTACAAGTAACATCTTTTAAACTGTCAGATCTTTCAGCATTAGTCTCTGGAAGGGGCAGTACAATGCAAATGCATAACAAACCTTAAATAAAGATGGTAAAAGCAGTATATCTTTCGGAAGGCAGATGCCAAAGTAGCAGAGCGACTTAAAAAGATGATTATAAAATACATTTTATATCAGGAGAGCATAACAATAATAACAGTAGTAGCAAAGAATAATAAATGTGCAAAATACAGTAAAGACTTACCAAACACTGAATTCATGATAAACTGGAAATAGAAACAAGGACATATAAAGCCAACCAGAAACCCAGGAAGCAGCTTCACATTCAGAATGACAGAAGTAAATAAGAAATATAACCCCACCTTGCTATAAAAAAATGAGAAATGTGCAGCACTCTCTGAACATTTCTCATGTGACAGAACAAACTGGAACCGCTCACAGGCAGAATTTGGCTGCTGTTTTTCTAGTCTTTGTATCTGCCCCCGCACAGCACAGTGCTGGGCACACAGTTGGCATATAGTAAGAATTAAATGTTCATTGATATCCACTAAAAAGTGAGGAAGGAACAATGTCCAAAATTACCAGCAGCAGAAATGCATCCTTTCTATATGGTGTGCTAACAATACAAACTAGAGCCCTAACACATAATCTGGTCCTTACACAGGGAGGTATTGATCAGAGTTTGGATACTTAAGCAATTATATGGAGGTCAAGAGATCCTTCTCAAGATGGAACAATTTTTTTTATTTCATTCATATTTCAAGTAGAAAAAGCATTCATACACAGTTATATTCGGGCACAGTGGCATGCACCCATAGTCCCAACTATTTGGGAGGCAGAGATGAGCTGTTGCTCAAGTCCAGCTGTGCAATATAATGAGACCTCATTTCAGCAATAAAAACAAAACAACCTATATTCAAATGGACAAAATCCACTGTTCATTTTCAAGAATATATTTAGGGTGAGCTGGGAAAGTGGCTCAGTGGTAGAGTTCTTGCCTCACATGCATAAGACCCTGAATTTGATTCCATACCTCAAAAAATATATATTTTCTGATAACTGTTAACCGCTTCCACTTTACCCAGGTTTGCTCCTAAACTCATGATTTGAAAGCTTTTTGCAAAAATTGTATTCCTCTACATATCAATGTCCCAATTTAGGAGGGCCCATTATTCTCCTACACAGGTTTAATGATAGAAGAAATGAAAGAATAAGTCATTCTCAGAAGAAAACAGACAACTGTTTTCTGCCTGGTTCATAAGAATGACATTTTGCTCCAAGGAAATATTTTAGAATATACAATATCCATGATGCAAGTTTATATGCAGAACAACTTACTCCCTGAGAAAGGTTTGTTTTCAACATGAAGCTCTTCCACTGTAACCAGAGTTGGGAACAGGCATAATCGCCCTATGTTCTAACAATCTAAATGTAGAGCTGATGGCTGCCAAGCCAGCTGGGAGAATCTGCTTTCCTTCTCAATTTCAGTCACATCTTCTCAAATAAAAAGTCTATGGAGTCATTCCAATACCGCCCTAAATCAATTCTGTAATAATTTGCAAAAGTGAACACTGAAACTAATCAGTTCCCCGACTGTGTCTCTGGCCCTGGCCTTTTACCAAGGTTATAAACAACTCCCTTCAAGTCCAAAGTATCTTTTGATCCTATGCAGATGCCTGGTAAGGGTGACCTGCACCTGGACTTCAAGGTTCTACAACTTGTTTGTAATTGCTACAAAGTCTGGACTTCAAAGTTCTACAACTTATTTGTAATTGCTACAAAGTCATATTGCAAAATGCAACAACAGCTGGACATAACTGGGCAAACTTCTTCACTAAGTCTGTCTGAAACTCAGGCCTCAGTGAAGTGATTCATAGTTTCAGAGTTGGAATAGAAATAGACTTCACTATTTCTTATTTAATCAAGTCTAAGCCCATATCATATGATAAGGCTCATATAAAGAAAAAAGTCCCCTCATCATTGATAAATTTGAAAGGAAAGAATCTGTGTTAATTCTATTTAATTCTTACAGGGTCCAAAGCTGAATTACAAGGTGGACTCATACCCTTTAAAAGATTCCATGTTAGCCAATCAAAACAGGCTAATAAACCTGAGAGCAACTTACTTACCTAGCAGCCACAGCAATACTAACAGATCAAAACATCTGAAAGGTTTCTAGAGACAAAGCTTGATGGAAACAGAGAGAGGGCTAGATTCATCATGTAACTCATAAAAATTCAAAAATTAGTTGGACGGAAGTGTTTACAAGTAACTAGAATCACCCCACAGATTTAGCCTCTGATCCTTGATTTAAAGAAAAAAAAGTTTTTTCATTGATTTTGGGTGGGAAAAAATGTAGCTTTTGAGCTCAGTACAATGAACTATTTATCTGGCCTGACAAGGCCAATCAATCTCCCCGCCCTGCTGTTTATTATAAGGAGCAATAGAATACTGTTAGTCTTGATCGGGTGGGGGAGGGCCTACAGCAGCGTGGGTCCTGGTACACAATGCTACCCTTCAGTTAGAAATTTATGTTTGGTCCAGGTGACCCAGGAGGTCACTGTAAAGCCTGGGACAGAATGAAGATGGGTTGTTATGGGCTTCATATTTACAGAACTCTATGTGTTTGGGTCTCGTAGCGAATTGAGTATATAAAAGGCCTAAAGGATAAAAGGTTGGTCTTGGTTCAGCTGCAGGCCTAAAGAGGAAGGCTTTAAAAAAGAGTGTAAGTTGTAAAACCAAGCCATCCTTTTGAATTTCATTTTTCTGATAAAGGAAAAATCCCATTAGGGGAACTTAAAATCCAGAATTTTCAGTCGTAAAAAAACAATTACCTGAAAAGTTCTACTCCTTTGTTGATTTAAAAGTTCTCAGGTAATTTTACTGAACTCATCCAGATAATTACCTTCATTCCTTACCTTAATTAATTCCTTCTCTTGTGAAATTAATTAATTACCTTAAGTCTCTTATTGATGTTAGAAAAACAGGACTAGCTGGAGAGAACTTGCTGCTGGTCAGCATGTATGCAACTGAGGGGCCTGGGGACCTCAGCAGAGCTGGGGGAAGGAGACAGCTCAGAGACTCCAGAAAGATTTGTTGGTGCAGGAAGAAGTCTCACTGAACTGCAGCTCTCAATCCAATGAGGGGAAACTCGGAGGCTGAGGACTTATTTGCAAGAATGCAGGAGGTACTCTGGGAGAAAACTAGTTCTACAGCAACGTACATCACAGTCTTAAAATGAGAAATCTCCTTCTTTAGTAGGATAGGATTTTAAAAAGAGAAGAAGAAAATCTTACAGCTGCTAACCAATGTGGGCCTCTAGCCAATAATTCATCTGAATAATTCAAAAAAGGAAATGTAACCCAGGGCAGCTGGAGGGGGTAGAGGAAGAGGCAGGAAGGAAGAGAGACACAAAGCTAATGTTTTGAGCACTATGATCAATGGGCAGTTTATTGGACAAATACTTAGGCTGTCTAAATTTTATGAAAGATTAGCTGTTTTTCCCCACGGTTATCTAAACTCACCTTCTTTTTCTTGTTAATGGAACCCTTTGCTAATAAATTTCCTGCTATTTTTTGTTAATGGCTATTTTCCTTTAAACCTGCAGAAAAGCCAGCAGCTGGATGCTGACCTACTATGGGCCCTGCCTAACCTAATATGGACCACTTAGCTCAACTCAGCATGTTCCCTGGCCAATACAAAAGAACTTGATGTGTCATAATTCCGATTTGAGTGGGCTGGTCTCTCCAATCTTGTCTTTTCTATCACAATGTTTCAAACATTTATCACAAAGGTAAGATGTGGGGGAAAACAAAATTCCAACAAGCTGATACTTAAAAATTACCTTGAAGTCTCAAAAGAGGGAAAACAAGATTGTCAAAGGTTTCCTGGTTAGATAGCTACATTAACTGTATCTCTGTAATTCTGCCTCAAAAACCCAAGTAAGCAGGATGTGTGACTGGGAGCCACAAGTTGGAGACAGAATCTGGCAGAGTTTGTCTTAGATTAAAAGGAGAACATGGTCAGACCCACATAGCTCAGCCTGCGCCATGCCATTATTTAAATTTGCCTCTCATCCATAAAAATAGGTGTGAAAGCAGAAGCTAAAACTCTAGAAAAGGTATCATTTACAAATTTTGTCAATGCTCATCAAAAAATTATTAGTTCCCTTTATTATAGTTACTATATTGTTACCGGCATTGTGTGTGTATCCCTAAAATTTAGACTGAAAACTGAAAAGGCAAATTCCACTCAATTTTCAGCAATACAAATTTGACAATTCACCCAGGAATTTCCAAAGTTTGTTTTAGTACAGGGAGAGGAGCTCTTTCTCCTTTGCCATACCTCGCTTATTGGTTCTTAAAATGGTTTCAGAAGACAGCAAAGGGTTTCCACTGGACACATCGTGCATGGGCTTTTCTGGAGCTTTGTTGGAGAGAGGGTCTTTCTTCATATCCTTCTTTATTTCCTGTGAGAACAGAGAAAGGAAAACAAGATTATAGGCTGAAATTCTAGACTGACTCTCTAAAGTATCACCTTTATGGAAATGAAGCATTGTAATTCCAAGTCAGCGCAACATAATATTTTTAAAACACCATTTCCCTCTATTTTCATAGTTGTTACCTTACATGTATTAGAGAAGCACCTAGTTTTATAAAGTAAATCAATGTCCAGTATGGTGAAGTCACCTTATATAAGTGTGCTCACTCCATGTGATCCATCAAGAGAATGATTAATACATAGAAGCCACTGCACAGCTGTAAATGAGAGTTTGTTCTACGTTTTGAACAATGACAAGCTTTGCCCAAGCAGATTCACCCCTTATAAAGCCTTCTGATTTCTATTCGTCTTAAGAGAGTTTAGATAGCTGTATTCCCAGATCACCATTTGTACTCACAATTATACTAACCTCCCCAAAATGGAGTTAAACTCATTCATGGTTACCAAATTCCTCTGTCTTTTCAACATTTGACACAGAAAAATTAAGGATGACAAATTAAAATAACTTTCTAGGCCAGAGGTCAGCAAACTATAACCCACCACTCTATTCTGTAAAGTTTCACAGGCTATAACTGTATTCATGAAAATTTTGTACAACTACTTTGATGTATGTACATTTTGTATAATTACTTTGACGTTACAATGGCAGAGTAAATGCAACCAAAAGCAAAACTTAAACTATCTGACCTATTACAGAAAAAGTTTGCCAAACCCACTCTTGGTGATCTCTTACCAAAGCTCCATTAAGATCTGGATTGTTTAATTACAGGTTGAGCATTCCTAATGCAAATCCCTAAAATCTGAAATGCCCCAAATCCAATTTTTGAGCCCTGAACCTGACACCACAAGTGGGAAATTCCACACCTGACCCCATGTGATAGGTTGCAATCAAAACAAATAAGTGCACTACAAATACTGTATAAAAACAAATTCAGCATATGTGTATAAGGTGTGTATGAAAAATAAATGAATTTCATGTTCAAATCTGGATCCCATCTCCCATCCCACCTCTGGATCCCAAGCTATCTCATTCAGTAAATACGAATATTGTAAAAGAAAAAAAAATCAACTAAATCTGAAATACTTCTGGCCCCAAGCATTTTGGATAAGTGATAGTTGGTCTGTATGTCAAATTACTTTAATAACTTACATAATTCTTTGTAAAAGCAATAATAGCTCAAAATGATAGTAATTCACAACATGCAGATCTGTTCACAGGAATTCTTCCCAAAGGAGCAAGGAGTTTCTAGGCTTGTCTGAACCCATGATTACACTAAGTTAGGAAAAAATAAAAACTAAGAGCTAGACCTAAAACCTGGCTGAATGGCAGGAAAGACCCACAGATAAGAGAAGTGTGCTTTAGAAAGAGTGAGGTTAAGAAATGGGGATGAGTTCCTTCTACAGAATGAACTGAAAGATGGACAATTAAGTCAGGGGCCATGATTAGGCCCAAGCAGAGGATAAAGGTAGAAAGAAAACAAGTGTGTGAACACAGTGCTATTGCCCCTCTGCTTTGCATACACCCAAGTATGGTTTAGTTGCTGTATCCAATTCCCCAACTGCTAGCTGTGTTCATAACAGTCTCACCCTCTCTTCCTGCCTCACCAAGGCCCCACAGGAAACCAGCAACTGGGGCTGCAGCTTTTCTGGGGCTGAGAGTTTCAGCTGGTGTCGCAGAGCCCTAAACAGGCAGAGCTCAGCCACACGCCAACACTTATACCTTTGTATAGCATGCAAAATTGTACACACGTGTGTATATATATACAGCTCCCCCCCCCACTTAGCAGCTGCAGCACCTGCTAGAACAGCAGTTGCTGGGGGTTCCTGTAGCTTCACAGGCAGATGGCATCAGGGGACAATCTGCAAACATTGCCTGCCTGAACCACATGCCTGCCTAAGCTACATGATAGCTGTCAGCCAGCTATGGCTCTAGCAGGAAAGACAAGACACCAAGTGCATTCATTTCTCCAATGGTTGCTTCTTTGAAAAAGAACAGATGCTCAAACCTCGCTTTCCATCATAGTGTAGATATGACTGCGTAAAAACAAATCTCCCCACCTAGACACAATATAATACAGCAACACATTGTCCAACTTGGCAAGGAGTGAGCCCAAGAAATTCAGGGCTCTGGGGCAACGTGACCAGTGTTGGGCTGGCACTAACTGTTAAAGACTTGAAGTTGGGGAAGAGAAGGTGAGGACAGGAGCAAAGGTTACAAGGCTGGCACAGCCACTGGATAATGCCTCAGAAGCTGTGCTTCTCAAGAACGCTCAGTGCCCAACGCTTTATAGCAGCAAACTGGGAGCAGCTGGCTAGGAAGGACCAATCTGATCAAGAACAAACAGGGCCGAGAAACCAGCAAGAGAAGAAAGCTGGACCACAAATCCCGATTTCTTCATTTTTCCACTGATTGTTCACATTTGCTAGACAGAGGCTGGGGATGTGGCTCAGAGGTACAACACTGCCTCACTTGCACAAGGCCCTGGGTTTGATCCCCAGTACCACAAACATTTGCTATACAAAAAAGGTCAGTGTTCACCAAATTTCTTCAGTTGCTTCTTAGACTGAAGCAGGGAGAAGACAAAACTTAAAATATGTCCCACTTTTTTTTTCCAGAAAAAAAAAAAACAGGCACATGAACTTGGCGGGGAATTCTGTAGGTTCTTCACCTAGACAACACCCAGGCTCAATACAGCACCACCCAAGGCCAACACCTTCCCAAAACGTGCCCCTTACGTCAGGGGTATGAGACCTGACTTATTTAACAGCCCATCATCCACCCACTTACCCAGGATGTCAAAGTCAGCATTAACTCCCCATCTAACTAGTCAGTAAGTCTAGTTTATTCTACTTCCTCAATGTCTTTTGCTCTTCATGCCTCCTCTACTACTCCAAAAATATAAATACACAGCTATAACTATAGCTACAGCTATATCTCTATCTAGAATAGACGCTCTCCAAAGAAATATAAATGGTCAAAAAACACAAGATATAATATCTTTTCAAACCCACTTCAATAGCTAGAATTTAAAAAGTTACAAAACAAGAACTTTTCAAGGACATGGAGAAAATGCAGCCCTGTATACTGCTGGTAGGAATGTGAAATGGTGCTGTCTCTGTGGAAAACCACATAACACTTCCTCAGAAAGTTAAACATAGAACTACCATATAGCCCAAGATTCTCTTACAGATATACTTAAAAGAACTGAAAGCAAGGACTCAGATAGACATTTGTATGCCAATGTTTACTGCAGCATTATTTACAATAGCTAAAAGGTGAAAGCAAGACATGTGTCCATGCACAGACAAATATATAACCAAGATCTGATATATCCATACAATGGACTATTACTCAGTCTCAAGAAAATTAAAGTTCTGGTACATGCTACAACATGGGTAAGCCTAAGGGAAATAAGTCAGACACAAAATGACAAAGATTATATAATCTCACTTATATGTAATATAGAAGAGCTGAAATCTTATAGACAAAAAGTAGACTACAGGTTGCCTAGGAGTTGTGGGAGAAGATTGAAGAGTTTCTGTTGAATGGTTACAGGATTTTTTCTGAGGCTGATGAAAAGCTTTAGAAATAGTGGTAATGGTTGTATAAAATTATGAATCTAATTAGTGCCACTTATTGAACAAGTAAAAAGTCAAAATGGCAAATTTGGGTTAACATGAATAACCATAATAAAATAGATAATAAAAGGGGGGACTCACATAAATAGTATCTAACGTTTGAGTGCTTACTGTATTCCAAATCCTACTCGAAGAGCTTCGCCCAGATGACGTCCATCCACAAAGACTCTTACAGACACATACACCAAGACGCAAGAAGCTAAAAAAATAAGCAGGGATCAAGCTTAGAGCCCCACCTGCCTAGCTTCAGAGCTCATCTCTTATCCACACTTGCCCCAAGTCCTGCCCAGATTATAATCATGTCTCCCTACCTTCACACTCTGCCTTCCCATCCCAGCCTCCTCAATACCGCAAGGGACACCCCTCAAACAAATGCCTGTTCTTGTCATGTCCCTACTAAGCTCTCTAGCTGCTTCCAAATGACCATAAACCAAACTCTTTATTCAAAAACATCTCAAAACACAGCAAACCACGGTTTCTGTACCCACTTCTGGCTAAAAATATCTGATGTGTGTGCTGCCCCCATAGTATGGATTACCACGCAAACACACACTGGCCAACGCTTTACATTCACGCACCTCTGACGTCACGGGCACCTATATGCTAAAAATGAGTAATGATGCTAATAATCATAGGATGGTACATTGGCAAGAATTTATATAAATTAAAGTGCTTTCACAGGAATTTTTTTCACTTGCTCCTCCCAATAACACTGTCAGGAAAAAGGAATCTGATTTTGCCAGACATTTTTGTTTTTACATATTTCATCTGGTCAGAGAGGCGCTAAGAGCAGACAAAGGCCACAGAGCTAGTTAGGTGCATTCAGTGGAGGAACCTAACTCTGGGCCTTCAGGGAAGAGCTGTCCTGCTACGTATCACCTCTCAAAAAGATCAAGTGTTGTGACTATGATGAAATGAACACATGAAGCCACTATGGCTCCAGTGGGAAAGGTAGCTTCCCTCACTCTTTTTTTTTTTTTTTCAATTTTATTTAGGGAGAAAAAGGGGGAAAAAAGCAGAAAAAGGGTACAAGTTATACAGAATTTCAGAAAAAAATAGTAGGAAATCACTAGTTAATGGATTATTGTCATCTTAGAAATATTTGTTCAAGTTACAAAATCAAAGCATATAAAGTGGACATTTAAACAGTGAGACTGCAAACAGTTCTGTTCAATGATCCAACAAAATTCAGTAATATCATTGTCTATCTTATACACTTAAATATACATGCAGTTATATAGTTTAGAGCATGTTCTTTTCCTCTCTTTTGTACAATGACTATTACACTTTTTGGGTTTTATTACTCCCACAGTTCTTATTACTTTTTTG